TATTTGCCGGGCGTAGTGGTGCAGGCCTTTAATCCCAGCAATCGGGAGGCAGAGGCTGATCTCTGTGAGTTCAAGGCCAGCCTGGTCTACATAGTTCCAGGACAGCTGGGGCTACAGGGAGACCCTGTCTCAAAAAGACCAAAAAAAAAAAAATTTTTTTTTTAATGAAATAAACACATTTTTAAGTCTTTTCAAGTGTATATAATGCAAAATTATTCCCTAATGCACCAACTTAGTACAATTTTACTCAATAGGGGCTGTTGTAGTTCAGGCAGCCAGGCTGAATGGCAGGATATTTGACCAGAAAAACAGGGTAGGTTTTTGCCTACCCTGCCTCTGGCTTGGCCTGAGCTGGGCTGGGGTCTCCCAAAAGTAGATTCAATGTGTGGGGAAAAATAGAGTGGTATAGTTGAATCAGACCCTATCTTGCCCACAGCTTAGAGCCTAGCAATGCCGTTTGGGTGTGTGACTCTGGGTGACAAGAAGAACTATAACCAGCCATCGGAGGTGACTGACAGATATGATTTGGGACAGGTCATCAAGACGTGAGTGCTGGGCTTGTTGGGCAATGATGGGTGGGTAGGCAAGGGTTGTGGGGAAGGAGGAATAGAGTGTACCCTATACTAAGGCCAGATCTGAGTAGAGTATCTGCTGGCTGTAGTGAGGAGTTCTGTGAAATCTTCCGAGCCAAGGACAAGACAACAGGCAAACTGCACACCTGCAAGAAATTCCAGAAGAGGGATGGTCGCAAGGTGCGGAAGGCAGCTAAGAATGAGATTGGCATCCTCAAGATGTGAGTGTGAGGACTGAGGGTGGAGTGAGATTGGAGGTAGGAGGGAAGGGCTTAAAGGGCCAATTAGTCTGCCATGACCACCGTACTGACCAGATCCTCTCTCAGAGGTTCACTCAACCCTGACAGGGCGTCCTCCTCCTGCCACCAGGGTGAAGCATCCCAACATCCTGCAGCTGGTAGATGTATTTGTGACCCGCAAGGAGTACTTCATCTTCTTGGAGCTGTGAGTATGAGTCTGAGGTTTCAGGATCCCCCAGTCTCTAGGGCCTTTTCTTTTCCCTCTCTCTGTAGCTAACAAAGTCCACTTTGAACCCTTGGGGTTCCAAGACCCTGTGTCCTACCCAACCAGCTGCCTAATACAAGGCAGCCCTCCCAAATGTTCCTGCCCTACCCCCGATCCTGTCCACGCCGGGCTCAGGGGCTGGTGTCCCTCAGGGCCACGGGGAGGGAGGTGTTTGACTGGATCCTGGACCAGGGCTACTACTCGGAGAGAGACACGAGCAACGTGGTGCGGCAGGTCCTGGAGGCTGTGGCCTACTTGCACTCACTCAAGATTGTGCACAGGAACCTCAAGGTAAGGCCAGAGCCAAGAGTGACTGGATTACTTGTTAAGGATGGGGTGAGTGCTATACTGGGCTCTTGGTTCAGTTTCTGAAGTCCTCATGATATCTTCTGCCCACCTCTCTACCATACTTGACTGGAGCAGCTGGAGAACCTAGTTTACTATAATCGGCTAAAGAACTCGAAGATTGTCATCAGTGACTTCCACCTGGCTAAGCTAGAGAATGGCCTCATCAAGGAGCCCTGTGGAACCCCGGAGTATCTGGGCAAGGAGGGATGGGTTAGGGGTGGGTGGAAGGGCTGCCTTTAGGGAGTAATTTTGGGGTAGAGGAGAAGTATCCCAGGAAGTGGGTATGGATGGTACTGTACTTGGCCAGGCTTGATACTGACCAGCAGATGGACACTGTGTTTGTAGCCCCAGAAGTGGTAGGACGACAACGGTATGGACGCCCTGTGGACTGTTGGGCCATTGGTGTCATCATGTACATCCTGTGAGTAGAAGGACAAATAAGTGGGCTTGCAGCCAGGTGGGGTGGGGACTTGTATCTGTGGCCATTCTGGGTAACCCTGCCCCATGTAGGCTTTCAGGCAACCCACCCTTCTATGAGGAGGTAGAAGAAGATGACTATGAGAACCACGATAAGAATCTCTTCCGCAAGATCCTGGCTGGTGACTATGAATTTGACTCTCCATACTGGGACGATATTTCTCAGGCAGGTGAGGAGGTACCCAGCATGCGGGTAAAGTATAGGGCAGTAGGGAGGGAGGCACTGCCCTCAGCTTCTGCTGGATTCTACTCCTGCTCCCCAGCCCATTCATCACATCTAGACAATGAGATGGGGCGCCCATGCCTAGCCCATCCCTGGCTTTGTCCCCAGCCAAAGACCTGGTCACAAGGCTGATGGAGGTGGAGCAAGACCAGCGGATCACTGCAGAAGAGGCCATCTCCCATGAATGGTGAGCAGGGTCCTGCAGAATGGAAGGAGAGGCCAAGTTTCCTTTGACCTCTGGACTTCTCACAGCAGAAGACCCCATTTTTAAGGTCTCAAGGGCAGGGGCAGTTTTCTAGAGCTCTGGCCAAACCAGAGGCTCTGCCTGGTAGTCTCAGATCATGCAAGAAGTACTGTATAAATCTTGGCGGAGGCTCATACCACTCAAATCAGATGCACTGATCCCCTTTTTAGGATTTCTGGTAATGCTGCTTCCGATAAAAACATCAAGGATGGTGTCTGCGCCCAGATTGAAAAGAACTTTGCCAGGGCCAAGTGGAAGGTAAGGTTTGGTGGCTTTCTTTCTTGGCCCATTGTCTAGTACTTCTGGCACCCACACTTTCTTGCGAGCACTGCTTCCCAGCAGCTGCACACAAGTTTTTCTCAGGCCATCAGTTGTGGCTATTGCTACTGCTCTTATCTTAAACAGGAGTACTAAGCAGCTGGATCCCTGGCCTTGGGAGGTCTGAGGCAGCTGGGGCACTATAGAAAGGTCTTATAAAAAGGTTTTTTTTTGTTGCTGGTTTTGTTTTTTTGTTTTTTTGGCTTTTTTGAGACAGGGTGTCCCTATAGCCCCAGCTAGCCTGGAACTCACTACATAGACTAGGCTGGTCTCAAACTCACAGAGATTCGCCTGCCTCTGTCTCCCAAGTGCTGGGGGATTGGGTTTAACTATTTTGAAGGAATGGATCCAGCAAGCCCCACCAGAAGCCTTTCTTCGCTGTTCTCCTTTCAGAAGGCTGTTCGAGTGACCACCCTCATGAAACGGCTCCGAGCGCCAGAGCAATCTGGCACAGCTGCAACCCAGTCTGCCTCAGCCACAGACACTGCCACTTCTGGGGCTGCAGGTGGGGCCATTGCCACAGCTGTGAGTGGAGCTGCCCCAGCCTCTGGGGGCAGTACTACTGCGGCCACAGAGGGTGATGCTGCATGTGCTGCCAAGGGTGATAATATAGCTTCCGCAGACCGTAGTGCTACCCCAGCCACAGATGGCAGTGTCACTCCAGCCACAGATGGTAGCATCACTCCAGCCACTGATGGAAGCATCACCCCAGCCACTGATGGGAGTGTCACTCCAGCCACCGACAGGAGTGCTACTCCAGCCACTGATGGGAGAGCCACACCAGCCACAGAAGAGAGCACGGTGCCCACTACCCAAAGCAGTGCCGTACTGGCTGCAAAGGCAGCTACCACCCCTGAGCCGGCTATGGCCCAGCCGGACAGCACAGCCCTAGAGGGTGCCACAGGCCAGGCTCCACCCTGTAGTAAAGGAGAAGAGGCTACTGGTTGTGCCCAGGAGTCTCGGAAGGAGGAAATGAGCTGAGTGGGCAGCCTGTTGGGGATTTTGAGGGATGGGCAAGAGGGTGGGAGAGTGGATGAGGGGCTTCTCACTGTATATAGAGTCACTGGCATGATGCCCTCTCTCCCCCAAGCTCCCTCATCCCAGTAGGGCATGTCTGGGGGCCATGGGAGAGCAGTTTCATCTCCTGTGAGGATGTGTGTAAGTGGTGGGCAGGCCAGAGGCAGGGCCAGCCCCAGCCCCTGCATGGATTCCTTGTGGCTTTTCTGTCTTTTGCTAGCTTCACCAGTTTCTATTTCTTGTGGGATGCTGCTCTAGGGATACTCAGGGGGTCCTTGCTCTCCTTTTCCTTCCCTTCCTGCCTCATCTTTCCCCGTAGGCAGGCCCTGCAAGTCCTATACTTTCCTAGGCCCTAAATTGGGTGGCCTTGCCCTGAGAGCTGGTCCTCCAGCGAGGCCCTGTCAGCAGTGTTAGGCTCCTGCACACAAAGGTGTATACCTGTGATGTGTAGACTGCTCTGGGAGGAGACACTGGCTGCTAGAGAGGATGCAGAAATATAGGCTTTAAGTATGCTTTAAATGAAGACTGGTCACATGGCTGAGGGCACTACATGTTAGCTGTGAGAGTCCTCAGAAGTGGGAGAGAAAATGGATAGGAGGATAGAAGCTTCCATCTTTGTTCCAGAGTAGGCCTTCTGAAGACCCTTGTGTTACTTCTTGCCCTCCTGAGTCCTGTAGTGGGCTGCTCAGTACCCTGATTCTTACAAACCTCTAAGGGAAAGGAGAAAGTGTTAGGATATGGCAGTGAGACATGGAGAACAGAGAACGGGGTCAGAACCGAGTCCCCCAGCCTAGCTGGGTCCTAACCCTGAGCCAAACAGGGAGGGATGATATTTCTATGGTCTTCCTGAATGCCACTACCACAAGAAGAGGCCTTACCCATGGTCACTCCATGCAGGCCCAGGCTAAAAATCCTCTTCCTCCTAGGGGGCCTCTGCATTGCAGTACCTTATAGTCTGCTTTGGGAGTTTGCTCTTTATAGGGGCAAATTTATTGTTCTCAGTTCAATAACATGGAGAGGATCTTCCTCTGTTTCTACTACTATCAAAGGCAGAGGTGTCTCTCAGCCATGTTAAGTTGCTTTGCTGGATGAAGAAGTAGAATAAGACTCCCCAGCTCCCTGAGGGAGGCTCTTAGCAAGTGCCCTTTGTCAGACCCCATTACAGCCTGAACAGGCAGCCACGCTGGTCTTTGCCTTTGCTTGGCACTCCATGGTGGTCCTGCCCTTCTCCCTGCATGCCTGTGGGTCTGCTCTGGTATGTGAAGGTTGGTGGGCTAACTGTGTGCCTGCTGAACCTGGCAAATAAACGTCACCCTGCAAAGCCTCTGGCCACCCTCTTGCCTTTGCTTCCTCTGTCCTATTGGGGAGGAGCCCATGGAAGGCAGTTGGGGAGGGGAGAGGCTGGGAGCAGGTTCATGGGTAGTGGCTGATGCTCAGTGCATTGCTTGGGCTGAGAGTGAAGGTTATCTTCACCAGTGTGTTCCTGGATGATGTTCACAGGGATCCTCTGGATTCTAGAAAACCATATGGGTGATTCGTTCTGGTTGGAGTCAGGACTATCCCCTAGATTGAGAGCTGAAGAACTGCTGCTGTTTCAACTCTTGTTGACCAAGGAGCCTCTGTCTTGTGTATGGAGCTGGAACCCACCCAGGACCAACCATCACAAGGAGAGACCTTGCTCATGGCCAAAATGGGCCTCCTTATTTAGGGGGAGGGTGGGATTGCACAAAGGGTCTGTGCTGTATGTTGACTCCTGATTCCTGTGAATAACCTGTGCTTTCTAGATAGACCCAAAGAATTTCACTCCCCTTCTTCAGCTGGAGCAGGCTTTATAATATGGGGTTCTGTATGTTTCTTCTGGGGAGGAGGGAGTAATACTGTTAAAATAGTATGAAAATTCCTAAGGAAACTTTCTTCAGCTCAGATGGGCCTTGGTGAACTCACCTGGGTTGCTTTCTCAGGGAGGACCTCAAAGATAACTTCACTGATGTGGGAATAATAAAGAGGGTTTGTTAGTTCCTGGTCTTTGAAGCATCTGTGCCTCTAAAATCACAATCCTACAGTCGCAGGCATGAGGAATTCTGGGAGGTAAGAGCTAAATTAGTGTACTGGTCCTAATATCACATTTCAAGGACCTTAGATAAAGCCAAGGGTAGTTTAATGTTTTGATGGGTTGGGACATGTGTGTTCATATTTCCAAGATCATCCATAATCGAAGGCTGAGAATAGGGGGCTTTCAAAAGTTCTGGCAACTGTGGGTTGCCTGCAAATGATCCATCACTGTCCAGAGCCCGCTATAGTCCCATTTCCTTGCAGCCTCAGTGTACTTGACTGCCCCGAAGTGTATAAAGAAGAGCCTAGAGCCTGCTCTAACTTGAGCACAACACTCAGTTTGGCAGGGAAAGGGGCTCAGCTTGCGGCACCCAGTCCATAGCCACGCTCTACTAGCAGACTCCTTAGAGCTACCGCTGCAGTCCCCACATTCTGCAGGGCCCTCGGCCCGCTAATTCCCAGCCCCTGGTCCAGCACCCTCCCCTCCGAGGGTTTGCCCAATCAAAGCGAAGCATTCTGACTTTCTACCCGTGTTTGGTGTCATTTCCGGTATCTACCGGAAGTCACTCGGTGGAGCCAAATTTGAAGGAAGTGGATTCGTGGAGGTGCGGCCGCCAAACAGGACTTGTCTTTGTTTCCTTGGCTACCTGAGCCGCTTGAGTCGAGACGTCATGCCTATCCGTGCTCTGTGCACCATCTGCTCCGATTTCTTCGATCACTCGCGTGACGTGGCTGCCATTCACTGCGGCCACACTTTTCATCTGCAGTGGTGAGTGACAGCGGGGGAGAGCCCCGGCGCTTATCCTTGGAACTGCTTTCAGGCCTTGGGGTGTCGGGTGTCCAAGCGGGCCAGTTGGAAACTATAGCTGATTACAGCCGAGGGATAACCTGGCAAAGAGCTGTGGCTTTAAAATTATTAGCCTGAGCAGCGATGAGCTTTCATCCCATTGACGAGCCCTTTTAGTTCTTTGAGATTAAAAAAAACCAAAAAACTAAGCTAAACTAACCTGATTGGCTTCTGGCAATCCTGAAGAGTCTGTTACGGTTTACTTGATGGTTCGGATGGATTCTATCCAGAATCATCTCATTGGTCAGACATCCTAATGTATTCGCCACACCAGCAAACCTAGTTTAACGTGAAAAGGCTAGGACATGCCTTCCTATTAAAGGGTCCAGGCAGCTATCTTGTTGAATGTACAGTGAGTGGGGAAAGATTCCCTTAGCTGTGGACAGGCTGGTTTAGAGCTTCCCGCAAAAGAGATCGTAAGGCAAAACGGGCCCTTGAGATAGTGGAAGGTTTGTGGGGCAAAAGGCCCCAGGAAGCAGGGAGGCACACTGATCACTGCTGGGTACCCCTTACTTGCAAAGGTTTGTCTAAACCAATGTTGCTAGTCAGAAAGTGCTGCATGACTATAATACCAGTACTTGTGAGTGGGATGGAGGCAGGAAGATCGGGGGTTTAAGGCCAGCCTCAGCTACATAGAGGCCAGCCTGGACTTCATGAGACCTTGTGTCAAGAAACAAAAAAATGAACCAGTGTTGCCTGAGCCCCATACTAAACTAACTAGGAGCCAACTTTACCACGAAAAGTACTTTATAACATCCTTTTTTTTTTCTCACCTTGAATTTTCCTGTGGATGTATACTTTACATTTATCTCAAAAAACATGTTTTGGATTTAAAGAATCTGGTATTTAATCTTTGTATTTAACTGAACCTTTTCAACCACTTAAAATGGTGCAATTTACTGATGCAATTAAGGGTCAATCTATCACCAAGTGTGGAGGCCCACACTTTTAATTCTAGCACTCAGGAGGCAGAGGCAGGCAGATTTCTGTGAGATCAAGGCCAGCCTGGTCTACATAGGCGGGGTACCAGGCCAGCTGGTGCTACAGGGAGACCCTGTGTAAAAACAAACAAAACCACCACCAACAATTTTTAAAAAATCCCAAAAGAAGAAAAAGGATTAAATCTGTCATATTTAGTGTTTCTGGTGTGTGTGTGTGTGTGTGTGTGTGTTGGCACTCAGATTACAGGTGTGTGCCATGGTGGTCTGCCTATGGGTTTTTAAAATTTATTTTTCTTATAGCACTGGAGATCAGACCCATGTCTTGTACATGCAAGACAAGTGCTCTACCACTGGGCCACATCCCTAGGCCTTGTGCATTTTGTTTTGTTGTTGTTTTTTTTTTTTCTTTCCTTCAAAACAACAAAAAATAGAATCTTGCTGTGAATGTTGTCTTGGTTGGTCTGGGACTTGCTGTCTAGCCCAGGCTGGCCTAGGACTCATGGCAGTCCTCCAGGCTTAGCTTCCTGAGTGCTAGAATTACAGGCATGCATCACCACACCTAGCTCCTACCTATGTACTTTTTTTTTTCCTTTTATTTAGTTGAGACAGTGTGTCATGTAACCTTGGCTGACCTTGAACTTGCTGAGTAGCCAGGGATGATCTTGAATTCCTGATTCTCCTGCCTTTGCCTCCCAAGTGCTGGAATTCCAAGTGTGCACCATTATGCCTTATGTGGTGCTAGGATTGGATTTAGGGCGTCATGCTTGCTAGGTGAGCACTCTACCCACTAAAGTACATCCAAAGACCTTCCTCCCCTTCCCTATGTATTTTGATTAAACTTTTTTTTCTTTTTTTTTTCTTTTTTTTTCCTGTGAGACAGGTCTCACTGTTTACTTTGGCTTGCCTGGGCCTCTCTATGTAGACCAACTGGCCTCCAACTCACAGAGATCTGCCTGCCTCTGCTTCCCAGATGCTGGAATTAAAGGCATGTGCTACTATGCCTAGCTTGAATAACTTTTTGTTTGGAATTTTCATTTACAGACAAGTCTCAAAGATAGTACAGAGAGTTATATACCCTTTGCACAGCTTCTCCAGTGTTAACATTTTACATAATGTTTATACAATTGTCAAAACTAAGAAATTCACATTGGTACAATACTGTTATACTATGGAGTTTATTTGGGTTTCACCAGTTTTTCCTTCATTAATGCCTATATTACTGTTCCAGAATTCATTCCAGGTTACCATTCAATTGTCATGTCACCTTAGTCTCCTCTGTTCTGTTTCTAATGACCTTGGCATTTTTGAAGAATACTGATCAAGTATTTTGTAGAATGTCCCTTAGTTTTTGTTTTGTTTGTTTGGTCTTTTTGAGACAGGGTCTCCCTGTAGCCCCAGCTGGCCTGGAATGGACTATGTCGACCAGACTGGCCTTGAACTCACAGAGATCTGCCTGCCTCTGCTTCCCAAGTGCTGGGATTAAAGGCATGTGCCACCATGCCTGGCTTTGAATGTCCCTTGGTTTTAAGTTTGATGTTTTCTCATGATTAGACTGGGATTTAGGGGAAGAATATCTTAGTGGTGAGGTGCCCTTCTCAGAATACCTTGTCAAGGAGTGTATGAGTACAGCAATATGATTTATCTTTGGGGATACTGAACTAGATCACTTGGTTAAGTTAGCAGCTTCCAAGTTTCTCCACTGTAAAATTACTAGTTTTCTTCCAATTTTCTTTTCTTCCAACATTCTAACAGGTCATTAGGTCCAGTTCACAATGAAATAGGAATGGAAATTAATCTCATCAATCTTTACTTAGTCATTTATTTTTTAATTAATTAATTAATTAATTAATTATTTATATTTTATGTGTATGAGTGTTATGCTTACATGTAAGTAAGTGCACCCAAGTTGTGCAATGCCCGAGGAGGACAGAAGAGGCTGTCGGATCCCATGGAACTGGAGTTACGGACAGTTGTTAGCAGCCATGTGGGTGCTGGGATTCAAACCCGGGTCTTCTGCAAGAACATTCAGTGTTCTTAACCACTGACCCATCTCTCCAGCCCCAAGTTACTTATATCAGTATGGGTGCATAGGTATTTTTTTCTTATTCTTATTGTTTATTTTACTACTCAGAATACTTCCTGTCTTCTCTGCCTCCACCTTTTACCGATTTATTTTTTTTAAAGATTTATTTATTTTATGTATATATGTGTATGCCTGAATATATGTATTTAAATATGTATGCAGGTAGTTGTAAGCCATCATATGGTACTGGGAACTAAACCTGGGTCCTCTGCAAGAGCAGCAAGTACTCTTAACTGCTGAGCCATCTTTCTAGCCCCTAATCTATTTATGTATATTTTTATATTTTTATTTAATGTGTATGCATTTATTGCCTGCATGTAGGTAGGTGCACCCATGTCATATACTGCCTGAGGAGGTCAGAAGAGGGTGTTTGATCTCCTGGAACTGGAGTTACAGATGGTTTTTAGCCACTATGTGGGTGCTAGGAATCTAACTCATGTCCTCTGCAAGAGCAGCCAGTGCTTTTAACTGCTGAGTCATCTCTCCAGCCCCTCTAATTTATTTTTTGTAGCTGTAAATTGAACCTAGGGCCTTGTTCATGCTGTGTAACTAGTCTACCACTGCTCTACATTCCCTGTCTCCCACCTTTATTCTTTCTTTTTAAATTAATTAATTAATTTTGATGTGTGTCTGTGTGTGATGCTTGTTAGGCAAGTTTTAAAAAATTTTTATTAATTATTTTTATTTTATGTGTATGCATGTATTGCTTGCATGTAAGTGCACCCATGTGCAATGCCAGCGGAGGTCAAAAGAGGGCATTGGAGTCCCTGGAACTGGAGTTGGGATGGTTGTTAGCCACCATGTGGGTGCTGGGAATCGAACCCAGGTCCTCTGCAAGAGCAGCCTGTTCTCATAACTGCTGAGCTCTCTCTTTAGCCCCCTTGTTTTGTTTTTTGAGACAGAGTCTCCCTGCAGCCCCAGCTGGCCTGGAACTTGCTATGTAGACCAGGCTGGCCTTCATCTCACAGAGATCTGCCTGCTTCTGGCTCCCAAGTACTGGGATTAAAGACATGTGCCACCATGCCTTTAATACAGTTTGTTTCTTTGTTTTGTTTTTTGAGACAGTATCTTACTGTGTAGGCAGCCTGGCTTTGTGTTTAGTCTTCTGTGTCAGACTATCAAGGATTAGGATTAGAGACATGTACCATCATGCCTGGCCTGGCTCACTCTTAGAACATTATGGTATATGTTACATGAAATTAACCATTTAAACCATTTTAAGGTCTAGAATTCAGTGGTATTAAGAACAATGTATAACCGTCAGCACCGTTATTTGAACTTACCATCACCCAGAGAGAAACACTGACCATTAAATAATAACTCTTCAATGTCCTTTCCTCTCAGTCCCTGGAACCTCTACTGTACCATTCTGCCTCTAAATTTTCCTATTCTAGGGATCCCATATAGGTGGAATCATATATATTTGTCCTTTTGAGTCTGATGTATTTCACTTAGCATAATGTTTACAAGATTCATCCATGTCATAGCATGTATCAGAATTTCATTTTTGTTGTGGCCAATATTGTATATATGAAAACACCATATTTGTTTATCCTTTCATTTGTTGATAGACTTTGAGGGATTTCCATATTTTGACTGCTGTGACTAATGCTACTATGAACATTGCTGTACAGGTACCTGTTTGAGTCCCGGTTTTCAATTCTTTTTAACATATACCTGGTAGCAGAAAGTCTAGGACATATGGAGAGTCTATATTTAGCTTTTGAGGAAGCTGGCATACTATTTTAACACAGCTGGTTGTTTTTTTTTGTTTGTTGTGTTTTGTGTGTGTGTGTGTGACAGGGTCTCTATATGTTCCCCAGACTAGTTTCAAACATCATTTTATTATTTTTAGTGCTAGAGATTGAACCTAGAGCTTGGGATACATTAACTACATA